GTAGTAGACGGAGTAGTAGTAGTAGTAGTAGTAGTCGTAGTAGCAGTTAGTAGTAGTACTAGTAGTAGAAGTAGTAGTAGTAGTAGTAGTAGTAGTAGTCGTCGTCGTCGTCGTCGTAGCAGTAGTAATAGTAGTAGAAGTAGAAGTAGAAGTAGAAGTAGAAGTACAAGTAGAAGTAGAAGTAGTAGTAGTAGTAGTAGTAGTAGCAGCAGTGGTAGTAGTCGTAGTAGAAGTAGTAGAAGAAGTAGTTGAAGTAGTAGAAGTAGAAGTAGAAGTAGTAGTAGTAGTAGTAGTAGTAGCAGCAGTAGTAGTAGTCGTACTCGTAGACGTAATCGTAGTCGTAGTCGTAGTCGTAGTAGTAGTAGTAGTAGTAGTAGTAGTACTAGTAGTAGTAGTAGTAGTAGTAGTAGTAGTAGTGGTAGTAGTAATGGTATTAGTGGTAGTAGTAGTGGTAGTAGCTGTAGCAGTAGCAGTAGCAGTAGCAGCAGCAGCAGCAGCCGCAGCAGGAGGAGGAGGAGGAGTAGTAGTTTTTCGTAAGTAGTAGTCGTCGTCGTCATCGTCGTCGTCGCAGTACTGCCACTGCCACAACTGCTACTACTGCTACAACCACTACAGATTTGTATAATTGCGGAAGTTCAGCATGGGTAAAAATCGTGCTCATCATCACCATCAGAAGTTTTTGGAAGACGAAAGGAATGAGAGAGAGAGAGGTAGCGCTACCAGGTGGCAAGAAGGTTAATGAAACAGTGCAACCCAGTTCGAGCAGTGTATCAAAGCCTCCACATACGTCCCAAAGCTTCCCGTGCCTATTCACAATTCTCGGACTCTAAACGATGGGCTTCGCCCCCTTACAAAGGCATTAAAATCAATGGGCATGGGCCTGAAAAGAGTTAACGTCTGAACCAACCTTTAGCAGCTCGAGCGATCCGACTACTTTTTTCATCGCCGCGCTGGCATGTGCTGGGCGCGCCCCGGCAAGCACGGATTCAGGAGTTGAGCGTCTCTTTAGGTCCGTCGAGTTTACCATATCCTTAAGGTTCCGCTTCTTGCGAAATTTCACCCTGAGACTGAGGACCAGAGCCACAAGTCCCTAATGTTTCTACTCTACCATGGCTCTGACTCTAAGTTCAATTGCTTGACATCTACGATGGACTGTTTGGCATGTACCGAGAGTGCCTGCGAATTCCGGATTCGTACTTAGGGTCCAGGGACGTGGGTCGGTCGAATGAGAAATCCAAGACCCCTTGTATGGCGAGGAAGCTGTTGGAGCTGGTCTTGCCGTCTTAGCCGTCTCAGCAAATGCCCCAGAGATGCTCGAACCTCAGCGAGCTTTCAGCGAGCTTTCGAGTATCAGCCCGCTCGCGGTATGATCTTCGAGAAATGGGAGCGTTCAGATGAATCCACTTCTGAACTGTTGGGGAGATGAGAGAGAATCCTGGCAAGAAATGTGCGAGATCATCAAAGCAACAAAGCCCCTCAAGCCATACATCAGTCACCTTTGCAATCATTCTTGTAGAGTTCTTCAAACGATTTGGGCACGAGGTCATGGATGCAACTGGTCGTAGAGGTAGCTTGCTGAGGCTGGTGCTCATTGCAGATCCTCGGCAGTTCTTCTTTCGATTAAGTGTAGGGTGCGGTGACTCTCAATTCGACTTTCGGTTCACGAAAGAACGAGAACGAGACACCTTTCGCTCCTATGCCAAGCCCCTGAATTACCAAAAATGATGCTTCTTTTGCCTACTTGCAGTCCGCGCGGAGCCCATGACTCCGAGTTTTACGTGCCCAGCCGAACCCGACAGTCCTGCACATCCCATAAGAAACTGCAGCACGCAGCACCGAAAGACACGTAGATAGGCAGATCGGGAAGGGTTCTTCTCTGCCCACTTGGCCACAAGAAGCCGAGGTTCGGGTTTAGGTGCTGGGTGTTCCATCTGAGGGCTTCGTGGCTCGCGGCGCAGCTCACATTCGGAAGGTAAGCTTGTCTGTGGAAACAATGCCTGCGCTATCAGCCCAAATCTGTCGAAAAAGCAAGAGTGCAGACATCAGAAGTCTTTGGCCAAGACGCTTGGAGCACACGCACGAAGCAGAGAGTCCGTATGGCGAGATCGAGACATTCTCCTGATGCAAACGGGGAGACAGGGAACTTGAAAGGTGTCGGAGAGAACTCGGCAAAAGAGATTGCATCCGCCCGGCTCTGGGCAAGCTCAAGCTCGGCACTGGAAAGGTGCCACTTTGAAAGGATCACACTCCCATCCCGGTTCCATATACGTACGGAGAACGTACGCAGCGCATGTAGGTAGCGTTACATATAGACATGCAGCAAGACACGGTGGAAATGCTAAGCTTCCCAGATGAGCAAGGCGTCCTCGACGTAGTTTGCGCCAAAGGTCGCCTCTATGACGGGGTCGGATCGTGCCACTCCACCTGCGATGCTCTTCGTCGTACTAGTACGAGAGACTGAGGGGGTGAATTTTGGATTCGGGGCTCAGGGGTGTGAGCTTTAAGAAACTCTTCTGCGAGAGTTTGCTTCTATGGGGGCCCTGAATCTTGTGTGAGGGCTCAGACCGCACCCTGCACTAGCACCATACATCCAAAAAACAATGAGCCGAAAATCTAACCTCCAAAGCTGTTGAGGGCTTGAGGTTCCGAAAGTCATCCCATCATTGTCGTCAGTTGCGACATGCCCACCCCCTTCATTGGACTCTTTGGATATGGGTCCGTGCTGGATCGGAGCAGCGCTCCCTGATTGAGCAGCAGACACCAGGGGTGTTCAGCGCGATACTTCCGCCGACACTGACATGTCAGTTGCTTGCCTTTTACTTCCGATACCGACGGTCCCTTGGCTTAGTCCTTTGCTTCTACGGGGCGAGCCGGGATCTGGGTTCACATCACAGCGTCCGAAATCTGAGGCTCCCGCCAACGGCGAAGACAATGGGAACTGGCATGGACTGCCTCAAAGTTCCCTCAAGGAATCTCTCTCTCTCTCTCTCTCTCTCTCTCTAGTTGGAGGAAAATTTGGACCATGGCTGTTGACTTAGGCCATGGCTGTTGATCAAAAAACTCGTGCCTGTCAGATCCTGTCAGTAATCCAGAACTTACGCGTGTGGATGCGTCGGGCTCTACCCTTCCTGCCTGCATCCCACCGAATCCATGTAGTCCCCAAAACAGAGAACCTAAACAAAGAGCCGTATGCCACCAACAGTGCAACATCATAAAATATGATTCATCAATAGAGTGATCATCCTCTCATTGCAAGACACTGGTAGCCGCGCTTACGCCAGCACCGCCGTCTGACACACTACGACGACGACTCGGATGGCAGATGCAGCAAAACCCTCCGCACAGAAGCACCGACGAAACAACAACATGTGCAGAGGATAGCAGATAGCAAAGGCAGCAAAGCACATGAATAGGCGCGAATGACTTCGGACTCTTTGGCCAATTTGGCTCGTGCTGCATTCACCGGTGCCCGTGATCATAAAGCTACGCTTCTTCAATTGGCCAGTTCCTGGCAGCACATGTACCAAGCTAAGCTCTGCTTGGATTCCCTGGTAGCCCCAGTGCTTGGGTGGTCTTGCAACGCTGGTGCTCTTCCGAAAAGCTATTTCGACACGAAGCACTTGCTTGCCCACACGATTCCAAACTTCGTGTTCGTAGCCTTTGAACATCTCAATCCCGACACCCCAGTACGAGGCATCTGCCCGGAAGCATCCAGCTCTGCAGCAAATTCTCGCATCTTGACCTCGCGAAACTGAGGACACAACAGAAACTCTGCGCAAGCATAGCTCACGTGTCCTGGTCGCGTCTTAGCTCTCAGTGGCTTGCGGTTTGTAACCGACTTTAGAGCAGACATCTGCGCAACTGCTTGGCGGCTCTTGCCAAACTTGTGTGGCAGAAGACTGGCCAGCTTGGCACAGGAGTTTGTAATATCTTGAACCGGAATACGAATATTACTCTTCTACCGGCTAGTCGGTTTCATGAGAAGCTATGTGTAGATCCTGTCGCAAGCTTTGGCACACTGTGTTGGCGCTTGTGGCAACGCAAAAATTTCACGGAGTCGAAACACCAAGTACTAGTACAGGTCAAACTGTGTACACTGCAGACGATGGCGATAACTTGCAGAAGCATCTCGTGTCTCCCACCCTGACAACATCTTATTACTAATCTTCATGCTCACCTTCTCAACACCATGGTCAACATCAAGTTCTTTGCTGTAGTTCCTCATCGTCACAATCATGAGGATGCTGATGCTGCTTCTGGTGGTGATGATGATGATGATGATGATGCCGGCGGCGACCAACATTGCTGGGGAAAGAAAATGACAATGTCGAAGTCGCCAGTGAAAAACATTGTGTCGTCTCCTCACCATGAGTCTGGCCACCATCTTCGACATGAGTATCGACGATCACTGCTTTCAACACTGTCGTCGACAGTATCTCGGCCACCTCAGTCATCATCAACATCTCAACCGGCTTTTCCATCCTCGTCGTCGTCGTCCTCCTCCTCCTCCTCCTCATCATCATCATCATCATCAGCCCCATCACCATCAAAAGTATCACCAACATCAGTATCACCGTCATCATGAGAATGAGGAGGAGCAAGAAGATGGATGGTCCCAGGTGTCTGTCCTGAGGCTCTGGCTGGCCGGCCGCTGACTGACATGCCAAAACGGCGGCATCCAGGTGGTAAGTACTTCTCCACAGGATTTGAAACCACCTCTCAGGGACAAATTGGAGTCAATGCTCATTTGTTTGAACTTCGGGACCCGCGGCTTTGGATCCTAGCAGTATGGTGCTTCTGGCAATTCAGGTTTCAATTTCGGCCGCAGGTTTGACCGGCCCTGCGAGAATTACGCTGTCGTCAACGCCATCATGACTATCACCATCGCCATCATCATCTTCAGCACCATTGGCATCATCACCACCATCCTTACCTTCAACCTCGAGCTCATTGCTTTCATTGCCAACTCGACATCTCTTTGGTAGTAATCCGGCTGTCATGGGATTCTACGGTTCTCGCGAAGTCGGCTGAAGAATCACTCCGGTTAGAAAAACAGAAGAAAACATAATACCCAAACCTTCCAGTGCGAAAGTCTGTCTAACAGTCTTGCGCACAAGATCGGAATGGAATCGCCATTCCTCCGGGATGCCAACATGTTGAGGCGAATACCAAGCCGCAGAGCACTTGCCTCCCAAAGTTTGAAACCTGACCAATGCTTATGCTCAAAAGTCCTAATCGCAAGTAACTTGCGGTTCAAAGTGGTGGCCTTCATAAGTGTTTCATTGGCGCCCGCAGCGCGAATCTTCTGGCGCTGCAGCAGCTCAACACAGAGTCCTCGCTTCGACTTTGTTCCGGGGTAAAGGTAAAAATCTAGCCTGCAGCTTCAAGAGGCAGTTTGATAGTTTAGTGCGGCCATACCGAGCAGGCAGAAGCTGGCGACGACCTGCCTCAATCCACTCCAGAGACTTCAAGTGATGAAAACCGTTAGGAGATTTCGTGTCGCTGGGTGCTCTCAACGGTCTAGCGAAGTGGACCACGGATGCTACAAGTAGGTGATGGAACATGATAGCAGCGACACAGAAATTGTGCGCAGCCCGAGATTGACAATCCCGGCACACAGGTACTTTCCGCAGCAGTTCGGGGCTTTGGCGCCGCCGAGAACGACTCAGGTTTCGGGAATACATATTGTGCGGAGTGAGACCCGACCTGATTCCAAACACCCGTTCATAACCTTGACAATCTCCCGTGCGTTTTTGCGGGACGGTGTACTCTCGGCCATTCTCCAGCTTCTGTATGTCTGAGCCATGCGTTAACACGTACAGCCTTTGTTGGATCCCCCTTGGCCTGCGAAGCGCTTGAAGGTGCGAGGCACACGGAGGGATGGATGCACCTTCACTTGGTGCACTCAGACTCTCGCCTCAAGCTCATTGCAGTTTCAGACTTCTCGGGGCATCTGTCAAGGCCGGCGCAAACTTCCTAGGCTCTTTTTTTTCGGATCTCGGTCGCCACACAGAGCCCAAACCTACAGAGATCGAAAGCCTGTGCTTTGACTGAGTCCAGATGTCCAGATGCTAGATTCTCGAACACGAAAGGACCCGATGTCGGACGCTTGTGTTAATCTTTATAGTATTCTAGCATGGTTATACGTGCGGCATACGTTCAGGTGCCCCGATTTCAACCCATTCTGCTGAATGCCTGGAGCTCCGACAGATTGGCCGCGAAGCCGCACAGTTTTCGAGATGCTAGGTCAAGGGCGCCGACTCCTTAAACGTGTATCCTGAGACACGCACTCGTGGGAAAAGCATTGAACCGGAAACCCTAAATGACGGGAATGAGCTTTCGTGTCAAGTTCTTCCAAAGGCAGAACCCTGAATCTGAGCAGCCCCCGCGTGAGGAACCGACTGTTGGTGGCGAACTCATCAACGCCCAGAAGCTTGAGAGCTGTTAAAGCTTTGCAATACCCGGGCCCACACGATTGCAAGTGGCGCTTTCGGTCATCATCTGGTTCCTGTTTCAACGAATCCTTCCCTCTAAAATATCTCTTTACTGCTCAAACCGTCTGCCTGCCAGAAGGACTGGCTCCAGGCCTCTATCAGCACGTTTTTCGCGGTGTGGATATAGATAAGCAGCTTTCCTGCCTGCCAAGGGGGACTGGTGAGACAACTTATAGGGCCTTAACGTAGCCGGGGACCCTTATCGATCGCGCTGCTCTCGCAGCGGGTCTGGCTTAGGCCGTCTTGCTTTCTTGTGCTTCGTGCTAGTGCTCTCACGTTACAGATCCCTGCCATGCAGGGCGGCCCGGCAAAGCCACTTTGCTTTCTGGATGGGCCCTTGCCTAAGGAGCTGAAGATGTTCCAGGGCGGCACGGAACGGTAGGAGTTTCTAGGCTACTAGCAGACTAGAGGAAACGAAACGCAACACACGCCCGGTTTGCAAACTAAACTTACAGAAAACCCTGAACCCTAGTTTTCAGAATTTCCGACACCTGGGAAACAAACCTAACAAGCACGACCAACGCTTTCTCCAGACAGGCTCGCAAGAGAGGATTTCCTGATGAATCCCCAGGCACATTGAATGTTCCCAATGCCCAAGACCTTTTGGATGGAAGCTTGTTCCTACCATCCAGGCCGAAGAAAAGCAAACAACTCAAGAACGGTGAAAGCGCCTGCCAAAGACTGTGACACAAGACATCGCAGAACCTCACAATATGCAACTTCGTACGCAGGCGCCTTGTTCAATGGGCTGTCTAGCAGAGTCATCAGGCACTGGTGGGTGATGTCGGGCCTGCCCATGTGCGGTTGGCGGCTAAGCTAAGCTGGATGTGGAGGACTCCCGCCCCATCTGGTATCCAACTCAGATGCAGACAACTACCTGGCACCCTACATTGCACCTGCGAACCTGGGCCCTAAAGGCTTGCAGTCTTGAGCATTCGAACAACGGCACCAAACCTGTCAGGCCTACGCTATGCCCTCCATTGTAAATCACAAGGCCGCAGTGTCAACACAACGTCTTCTCCACATCTTAGCCGTCGGATTGGGTTTTGGAATGTTTGGAGCTTGAAGTCTAGCAGTCTCGTCAGCAGGCCTGCATCAGAGTCAACACTCCCAGCTAGCTGCGAAGATTGAGGAGCAAGCCTGACGTCTGCCAAATCGCGGCCAGTCTTGAGGCAAATGCCCTGAACAGGCCGTGCTTGAGCTTGGGAAGTCCAGGGTCGATGGTTGAGGACTTGAGGACCTATGAAGCGTTTTACAATGCCTTCCAGATATATAATCCTATGAGAGTGCTTAAAGGGAACCATTGGCACGGAATTCAACTCGTGTTGTCGCTAATCTTCAACCATGCTTGGTGGTAAACGCGTGTGGCACGCAAGAAATGCAGACATCTGGCACAGAAAAGTGTTGTCTAGCCAGGATGGAATACAGGGAAACGGGACTGGCGCCCCGGTGCGAGCTGAAACGGCTCGCCTTGTGGTCGTCGGAGTTGAGCAACTCCAAAGCGCCCTGGCAGGAGAATTTGGGGCTCCTCATTGCGAACTACACATCGAAGGGAAGGTCGGAAGCCTGCGGGATTCGGGGCCTTTCGGCTTCACTACATCTTCCGTTCCTTCAAAGGGCTCTGACAAAAGCAGCAACGGCACGACCTGGATATCGCAGTTCTACGACTTTAGCTGCATTCCCGCCTTACTAGCTTGTTCTCTGCATCAATTAAACTTCCCTGAAACGGTTCCTACTGTTTTCAGCCGACAGGTCGCGGCCTCAGACGCAGTGTGCAGCAAGGGATTCAGGGGCCTTTCCCGGCTGAAGGTTTGAAGGGAAGCACCATGTCACAGTGGTCGGTGCTTTTTGGCGGTAGCTGGTCGTCGCTGTCGCCGTCGGTGCCATCGTCGTCCTAATACTCACCAGCGGCTGCAATATGGCGACGGCTTAGGATTCATGGTTGACGGCTTCCTATATGAAGCCACGCACACTGGATGTTCATGTGAGGGATCAATCAGGGAGAGCAGTTTTTCCACAATCGCCTTGCGTGGAGCCACGTTCTCCAACGCACATTTCTCCAAGACCACCACCTGAATAGGCGAACGGGTAGATCGACCCGAGGATGGTTTTCTGTGCGACTTGGCGGGTGAAGCACGATTCTCTGGAAAATCCGCATATACGAGGCAGGCTTATGCAGAGGCTCGTTATGCACCTGGGGAGGGGTTTGTTGGGGAGAAGAATCTGAACAAACCACAATTTAAACGGCCCATCAAGCCAAGCTGTGACACTTGCGCGACTCAGGCGCAGGCAATGCGCCTGGCATTCATCCTCTCCTGCAGAAGGATTCCTAAACACGGACACGTCAAACCCGGAAGCTCGCCTCGCCACCTTAAGCCACCCATGCCAAAGCTTTGGGGGAATCCTCCAGCGTCCGAGGAAGCAGCTTGTCTGCTTCAGAGGGGCCATCGATCTTTTCCTTTCACGGTTCTTCTAAAGACACACCTACACTTGTGAATGCAGCAGTAGAATCATGGTTACTGTGTCCCAGCAGCTCGAAAAGTCAGATCCTGTGTCTCGGGATTCGGCCGATGGTCAGTGGCCGAGCACAAAAAGTCGAATTGGAACGGGAGTTCCACGATGTCAGATGTCCAGGTTGTATCAAAACTATGAGTTCTGGCCAAATTCGTGGTCACATTCAGTTGTGCATCATTCTCAGTACATTGAGCGTCGAAGCCCGAATCCTAAACCTGGCAAGCCGATTCCTGAAAGAACCTACAGTTGAATTGGAGGAACATATTTTCATTGCTCTCTGGCGCGGAGCCAGAGCCAGAACGAATTTCAAAGTGGCCAAATTCTTAATTCCAGAAGCAAAAGTTCGGAATTCCAGAATGCAGCAGCTTGAATGACTATTGTTATGATCTTCTCCAGACGATGAAGAAGATGATGATAGTCGATATGCTCATCAAGATGATAATGATTCCGGCAGCGGCTATGGTGGTAACTGTGACCGCAGTTGCCATTTCCATCGTCGCCTTGTGTTATCTATTCGGTTGAAGGAAAGCGAGCAATCAGACCAGATCTGGTGTGGTCGACACCGAGGATCTTGTCGCCCAAGAGACCCCGAGGTGTTGGGGGGTTCTGTTGCGGACATAAAACCCTGTTTCAATGTAGCATCAGCTGCCAAAGCCTCAATCTGAATCCCGTACATATGAACCCTGTCAAGTGTAAATCCCTGAACCCTCAACAGTCACGACAAGAACAGCAGCAAAGTCATCAGTGTGTCGCACACTCATTCGTAAGGTCAGCAGAGCGGCAACGAGGCTCTTCTTTCGCTTCTGCGCCTTTTTCACGAGGCCTCGCTCTCAGTCAGGTTCAGTCAACTGGGTCCGTTCGAACCCCGTTTTGGTCAGAATAGAACTCGACAACAGCATTACGACGACGACAACGACTACTACTGCTACTGCGACTGCTCCGAAAACTAACTACGACCACTACCACAACGACTACTACCGCTACTACTACTAACTACAAACTACCAACCACAAGCTACTAACGACAAACTACTAACTACCTGCCATTTCCTGGTACTACTTACTTACTTACTTACCTACCTACTTCCCAGGGTACTTGCTCGATAACTTACGTACCTGCTTGCTTGCTGACTTGCTTGCTGACTTGCTTGCTTGCTTGCTGACTTGCTTGCTGACTTGCTTGCTTGCGTGCTTGCTTGATTGCTTCCTTGCTTACTACCGCTACTGCTACTACTACTACCACCACCAACGCCACCACCACGACGACTACTACTACTACTACTACTACTGCTACTACTACTACTACTACTCCTGCTACCTAGTAGTAGTAGTAGTAGTAGTAGTAGTAGTAGTAGTAGTGGTACTAGTAGCAGTAGTAGTAGTAGTAGTAGTAGTAGTAGTAGTAGTAGTAATAGTAGTAGTAGCAGTGGTGGTAGTAGTAGTAGTAGTAGT